TTCCACCCCCCATTCTGGCACAACCCTCACACGTTTCGTGGCCCCATAGGGAGCTCCACCGAAGGCCCCAGTGGCTGCGCCCGCATGCGGTTCCACCCCCCATTCTGGCACACCCCTCACACGTTTCGTGGCCCCATAGGGAGCTCCACCGAAGGCCCCAGTGGCTGCGCCCGCATGCGGTTCCACCCCCCATGCTGGCACACCCCTCACACGTTTCGTGGCCCCATAGGGAGCTCCACCGAAGGCCCCAGTGGCTGCGCCCGCATGCGGTTCCACCCCCCATTCTGGCACACCCCTCACACGCTTCGTGGCCCCATAGGGAGCTCCACCGAAGGCCCCCGTGGCTGCGCCCGCATGCGGTTCCACCCCCCATTCTGGCACACCCCTCACACGATTCGTGGCCCCATAGGGAGCTCCACCGAAGGCCCCAGTGGCTGCGCCCGCATGCGGTTCCACCCCCCATTCTGGCACACCCCTCACACGTTTCGTGGCCCCATAGGGAGCTCCACCGAAGGCCCCAGTGGCTGCGCCCGCATGCGGTTCCACCCACCATTCTGGCACATCCCTCACACGTTTCGTGGCCCCATAGGGAGCTCCACCGAGCGCCCCAGTGGCTGCGCTCGCATGCGGTTCCACCCCCCCATTTCGGCACACCCCTCACACGTTTCGTGGCCCGGGGGCGCCACCGAAGAATATATCCACAATTGCGGTATTCACAACTACGTATGGTTGGTTTTCTTGGTTGTCTTGATTTCCTGGCCCGCCGCGGGCCCCCGGAGACCGCATGCCTGCCGACGGCGCCCTGGGGGGCACCCCAGAAAACCAAGAAAGCAAAGAAAATACAATGAAATATCAAGAACACGGCACCGCCAAGCAAGAAAACCAGGAAACCCACACTCTCCTTCCCCCTGGGGGTCGGAAAACAAAGAAAACCACTGCGATTCTTGGTTTTCTTGATTGGCGGGCGCGTTTTCTTGATTTTTCCTTGTGCTTTCTTCGTGTTCTTGATTTCCTGGCCCGCCCGCGGGCCCCCGAAGACCGCAGGCCTGCCGACGGCGCCCTGGGTGGCAGTCCAGAAAACCAAGAAAACCAAGATTATCCCGGCAAAGCAACCTAACAGCGATGTATAGGAGCATATCTGGAAGCATTCCCCTTGAGATTCAGATGAGAATCCAGTTGTAGAATTCTGCTGTTCTCGCAGTCGTAGTCGCATACGCGATGACAGTAAGCAGTGCAACGGCAGTCGCAGTCACAGCCCAGCCTAAGCTGCCGCAGTAATCAGGCCTTAGCTGTCCTCAGCTCAGCCTTCCTCACCCTGCCTCAGCCTGCCTTCAGCCTCAAGCCTCAACCTGCCAGCCTCAGCATCAGTCTGCCTTCAGGCCTCAGCCTAGCCCAGCTGCCTCAGCCTCCACCCTGCATCAGCCTCAGCCTCAGCCTCAGCCGCCTCAGCAGCAGCCTGCCTCAGCCTCAGCCTCAGCCTCAGCTGCCGCAGCCTCAGCCGATTCAGCCCCCGGCGGCGACCCGTCGGCCTCGGCCTCAGCCTCCGCTGCCTCAGCCTCAGCCTGCATCAGCATCAGCCTGCCTCAGCCTCAGCCTGCATCAGCATCAGCCTGCCTCAGCCTCAGCCTCAGCCTGCCTCAGCCTCAGCCTCAGCCTGCTTCAGCCTCAGCCTCAGCCTGCCTTCAGCCTCGGCCTCCGCCTCAGCCTGCCTCAGCCTCAGCCTGCATCAGCCTCAGCCTCAGCCTCAGCCTGCCTCAGCATCAGCCTGCCTCAGCCTCAGCCTGCCTCTGCCTCAGCCTCAGCCTGCTTCAGCCTCAGCCTCAGTCTGCCTTCAGCCTCGGCATCAGCCTCAGCCTGCCTCAGCCTCAGCCTGCATCAGCCTCAGCCTCAGCCTCAGCCTGCCTCAGCAACAGCGTGCCTCAGCCTCAGCCTCAGCCTGCCTCAGCCTCAGCCTCAGCCTGCTTCAGCCTCAGCATCAGTCTGCCTTCAGCCTCGGCCTCAGCCTCAGCCTGCCTCGGCCTCACCCTGCATCAGCCTCAGCCTCAGCCTCAGCCTGCCTCAGCATCAGCTGCCTCAGCCTCAGCCTCAGCCTGCCTCTGCCTCAGGCTCAGCCTGCTTCAGCCTCAGCCCCAGTCTGCCGTCGGCCTCGGCCTCAGCCTCAGCCTGCCTCAGCCTCAGCCTGCATCAGCATCAGCCTCAGCCTCAGCCTCAGCCTGCCTCAGCATCAGCCTGCCTCAGCCTCAGCCTCAGCCTGCCTCAGCCTCAGCCTCAGCCTGCTTCAGCCTCGGCCTCAGTCTGCCTTCAGCCTCGGCCTCAGCCTCAGCCTGCCTCAGCCTCAGCCTGCATCAGCCTCAGCCTCAGCCTGAGCCTCAGCCTCAGCCTGCCTCAGCCTCAGCCTCAGCCTGCTTCAGCCTCAGCCTCAGCCTGCTTCAGCCTCAGCCTCACTCTGCCTTCAGCCTCGGCCTCAGCCTCAGCCTGCCTCAGCCTCAGCCTGCATCAGCCTCAGCCTCAGCCTCAGCCTCAGCATGCCTCAGCATCAGCCTGCCTCAGCCTCAGCCTCAGCCTGCCTCAGCCTCAGCCTCAGCCTGCTTCAGCCTCAGCCTCAGTCTGCCTTCCTCAGCCTGAGTCTGCCTTCAGCCTCGGCCTTAGCCTCAGCCCGCCTCAGCCTCAGCCTGCATCAGCCTCAGCCTCAGCCTCAGCCTGCCTCAGCATGAGCCTGCCTCAGCCTCAGCCTAAGCCTGCCTCAGCCTCAGCCTCAGCCTGCTTCAGCCTCAGACTCAGTCTGCCTTCAGCCTCGGCCTCAGTCTCAGCCTGCCTCAGCCTCAGCCTGCCTCAGCCTCAGCATCAGCCTGCCCTCAGCATTCAAAATGTAGCCCGGGAATGGAGTTTTGGGAACTCGGAGAACACGAAGTGGCCTACAGTTGGCTCCGGACATTCAAAATCATGCCCAGGAATGGAGTTCTGGGAACTCGAAGACCACGAAGTGGCCTACAGTTGGCTCCGGGCATTCAAAATCATGCCCCCAGGAATGGAGTTCTGGGAACTCGAAGACCACGAAGTGGCCTACAGTTGGCTCCGGGCATTCAAAATCATGCCCAGGAATGGAATTCTGGGAACTCGAAGACCACGAAGTGGCCTACAGTTGGCTCCGGGCATTCAAAATCATGCCCCCAGGAATGGAATTCTGGGAACTCGAAGACCACGAAGTGTGTTACTGTTGGCTAAAAACAGTCCCCGGCATCCTCCCCCGGATCGCGCCCAGACCCCCCTGGGGCGTCATGATGCTCTCTTTTGACCCTACTAGAAACCTATCAGCAAAAGCTGCTAGGTAAAAACCAAGAAAACACTATGAAAAGTCAAGAAAACACCACCGCCAATCAAGAAAACCAGGAAAACCATAGAATCCAATGCTGGCGAGGAAGGGCTGCGGGCACGCTTATGAGATGATCGTGGATGCCTCTGGGGCTTCCTCGGAGGAGGGGGACTTGGCATCGGACAGTACATACCCATTCGAGGTAGGAGCAAGAGGAGCAGGACGGAGGAGGAGGAGGAGGAGGAGGAGGAGGAGGAGGAGGAGAGAATTGAATCTGGCGCTGAACCATTCGGGGCTCGTGTCACAGGCGCTGCCCCCCCCCGTCGTGGTCAGACGCTTCTTTGATGTATATGATGGCCTCTTGGGATGCCTCCCAGTAGTATTGAGCGATAGACAGAGCCATCGACCGAACAGGGAAACTGCCAAGTTTTCCTGTTCGGTCCTGGACATGGAAACTGTTTTTTTCAGTACGGGGAGGGAACCTGAACAGTTTCCCTGCCCCGACGGCAGAGGGAAGCTGAAAAGTTTCCTCTGCCATTGCAGGCTCACTGGAGAAGGACACTGGACAGTTTTCTTGTTCGGTTACGGCAGGGGGGAACTGAAGAGTTTGTCCTCTGCCACTGCAGGCTCACTGGAGAAGGAAACTGAAACATTTCCTTGTTCGGTTACGGGAGCGGGAAACTGAACAAATTCCCGCTCCCGCTTTCGCTTGCAAATCGCTGAAAAACAAAGGAAACTGGAACATGTTATTTCCCAACCAACCTGTGTTGTTGGGTCCTCGTTTTGAAGACACGGTCCCCGCGTTCCTTCCTCCTTCCTCCTTCCTCCTCCTCTCCTTCCTCATCCCTCCTCCCCCTCCCTTCTGGCACACCCCTCACACGTTTCGTGGCCCCATAGGGAGTTCCACCGAAGGCCCCAGTGGCTGCGCCCGCATGCGGTTCCACCCCCCATTCTGGCACACCCCTCACACGCTTCGTGGCCCCATAGGGAGCTCCACCGAAGGCCCCAGTGGCTGCGCCCGCATGCGGTTCCACCCCCCATTCTGGCACACCCCTCACACGTTTCGTGGCCCCATAGGGAGCTCCACCGAAGGCCCCAGTGGCTGCGCCCGCATGCGGTTCCACCCCCCATTCTGGCACACCCGTCACACGTTTCGTGGCCCCATAGGGAGCTCCACCGAAGGCCCCAGTGGCTGCGCCCGCATGCGGTTCCACCCCCATTCTGGCACACCCCTCACACGTTTCGTGGCCCCATAGGGAGCTCCACCGAAGGCCCCAGTGGCTGCGCCGCATGCGGTTCCACCCCCCATTCAGGCACACACCCTCACACGCTTCGTGGCCCCATAGTCTGAAAGATACAGGAGTAAGCTTGAGCAGCAGCAGTCTCCTGCCCGTCTGCCCTGTCCGTTCCACCGCCACCCTCGGCTCAAGGCGAGGGAGGGCGGGACTCTTTCTGACAGAGCCTGGCTGTGCCAGGCAGACCGCGCAGCCGACAGCGCGGCCGTTCATATCGTGGACAAAAGGTGTTCACTGACAATTATCACGATAATTGACATCTACACACACTTTCTCTTGCTCTTCCTCATCGTCACCAGCGTGAGCGATCTTGAGGACGAGCTCTAGTAATCAGATTGGTAGCGGAGCCTGTGGTCTCCGATAACCACGGGCTCCCACCGGTCTCGGCCTGAATGGCGACTTCAGCCGCCAGCGGGCTACCTACGACGCGCGTCGACGTCCCCTCATGGAACGGCGAGGCAGACAAGTTGACGAGCTACAAGTTTGAGGTCTCCATGTTCACCAAGAGCATCAAGACTGCGGAGCGCTACGCGTGCGGCCCGCAGCTGGTGCGCGCCCTCGGGGCGCGAGTCCGGACGACGGTGGAGAGCTGCCCGGACATCGACACGGTCGACGAGATCGACAAGGATGGAGTTTTGATTGGTTGGAACAAAGTGTTTCAGTACGTATTGGAGAAGCTGGACTTCACCAGCCTGAATGATACGGGCCTCCTCGCGGAGGAGTTCTTCCTGAAGGTCAGCCGGAACTCGGGCGAGACCTTCCAGGACTGGGCCACCAGATTCGAGAAGAAGGAGCGGGAGCTGTGGTGCAGCTCCAAGTCATTGATTCCAGCGTGACGGAAGTGATTGCGAAGCCTCTTCGGACATGGTGGTTCCTTCGGAAGTCCAAGCTATCCCCTGTTCAACGTGGAGAGATCACCGCCACTGCAGGTGGCGACCTCAACTTTGGCAAGACATACAAGGCCTTGCTCACGCGCTTCCCGGCGGAGGCGCTGGCGGAGCTCGACGGCAAGCAGCACCGTAAGGCCTTCTATGAGGACACGCCCGTCGACGACGTTGAGGACGAGACTGGTGGGGAAGATATTGATTTCACAGAGGTTGTCGAGCAGCTGATCACCCTCGCTGAAGAAGATGAAGATGAGGAGCCAGCTGACGACAACCCAGCGGACAACGAGGTGTTCGCAGAGTTCAAGCAGGTGGGCAGGAGCTTCAAGGACGCTCGCGACCTGATCCGACGCCTTCGAGTGTCCCGCGACTACTACCCGGTCGTGTCGCTCAAGGACCCCGATCGCGTGCCCCCGCCTCCGAACCCGGGACGAGGCTTCCAGCGTGGCCGTGGCAAGAACGGTCGAGGCCGCGCTCGCTTCGACACGGGCAAGGGACGTGACATGTCCAAGATGAAGTGCATCGCGTGCGGCGAATATGGTCATCGAGCGGCGGACTGCAACGAGAGGTTCAAGAAAGATAATACGAGAGATGGAGCTCGTGGGACTACTCACAACGGCTTCGTCCTGTCCGCCCTCGACGAGTACCTCTACCTCCTGGAGCGCGACGGCATCTGGGCGATCCTCGACATCGGGGCCACGAAGAGCCTCGGCGGCCTCGAGAGCGTCGAGAACCTCATGTACGAGATGCTGGACCAGCACGGCCAGGAGTTCGAGACGACACATGACGAGTGCTCATTCACCTTCGGCGACGGCCTCCAGAAGAGCTCGATGGGCACGGTGAAGGGGAACGTGTTCCTCGGCGGCGACCTGACCGAGGTCAAGCTGTCGGTGATGCCGAACCGCGTGCCGATCCTCCTGGGCATGGACATTCTGACTGACTCGCTGAAGGTTGTGGTCGACTGCGGCCGGAACTGGATCGGCCTTCCGACCATGGGCAACAAGGTGTTCTTCTGCGAGCGCCTCTCGAGCAACCATCTGGCCGTCAACCTGACGACGCCGCAGTGGTGGAAGGAGGTGCCGCTTTCCTTGCCGAGTGCCGGGTGCCTGACGTCCGAAGCGACGGCGCCCGATGTTCTGGTCGAGGAGCTGCCCGAAGAGGCCGCTCCGTGCAGCTGCTGCCCTGCGGTGCGCTAGGGACAGCGCCCCCTGATGATGGCAGCAGAAGAGAAGTTATCTCGATTGTCAACTTCATCATCGGGGGGGCCACACCGACTCGGTCACCGCGAGTTCGAAACACCTACCAGAGCGACGGAAACCTCGGCGGCGCGGACACCTACCAGAGCGACGGAAACTGCGACACGGAGCGGATCGGCTCGAGCGACGGAAACCTCGATTTCGTTCGGACGGACGGTCATGGTCATCCGACCGGCTCTCTTCATCATCACCGTCGATCGGGACATCATCACAGTCAAGAGGACCGTTAGCAAGCAAGCCTCAGGATCAAAATATGGAAAAGCAAAGCGATGAGCCAGCACAATACCATCGGTGTTCATCATCATGCTGTTCGCAGCCACCTTCGGCTCAGTTCATCAACTCGGCAATAGCCTCAACCAGCAGTCTTTCACGACCTCCATATTCTTCCCAGGCCGCCACTGGCCGCTTGGATGACATGCAGCGACGGTTCTTTGGCTGGGCAATCCTCGGAGCAACAGCCGCCACCTGTGCCTGCGGCCCGCCCCGAGTGGAGCCGCCCTCGCACGAGGGGATCGACAACTTCGGCTCCAGCGACCCCGACGCCAGCATCAGCAGCAACACCAGCTATTCCGGCGCTACCAGCGGAGTGGTACAACCCAGCGGGGAAGTGCGGCTGCTGCGGAGCTCTGGGGAAGACCAAACGCGGGTGCAGCTGCTTCGGGGGCAAGAGCCACCAGTGCCTCAAGACCTCACAGCAGGGAGCACCCGGGACGCCAGCAGCGGCACCAGCAGCGGCATCAGCAGCGGCAGCCAGCAGCGCCCCACCGAGTCCAGCGGGGGCTCAGCCAGTGACGAGACCTCCGAAGTCCGCGTGCTCCTGCTGCGGGACCCTCGGGAAGACGATTCGGGGGTGCAGCTGCCGCGGAGGCAAGAGCCACACGTGTACGAAGGCGACGGAGGTGACCATCCGGGAGCAGGCAGTGGCTCTACGCTGGCGGCGCCTGTCCAACAAGCTGACCTCCCCGGAGGTGCAGGGGGGCTGGAAGCTCACTCCGGAGATGCTCGACGACTCGGAACTGCCGGAGATGGACTCGAAGAGGAAACGCTGAAGCATCTCGACGACCAGGATCTCAAGATGTTCTACGAGAGCCACGACAAGGTCCTTGACGAGATCTACCAGACCATCGCCGAGGACCTGACGGAGCTCGGCAGGCCCTACCGCATCGACCTGATGGAGGTGTGCTGTCCGGAGGACTCGAGCCTCAGCAAGGCCGTGCAGGACCAGGGAGGCAAAGTGTTCAGGTGCGGCCTCTTCAATGGGATCGACATGGGAACGGCAACCGGGCTTCGACGCGCGCTTCACCTTCTCCGACGACTCCGACCGCGCCGCTTGGTTCTCAGCCCGCCATGTACAGCAGACTGCCCGATCCAGAATCTCAACCAGAAGACAGCTCAGCAGAAGGCCACGTATCTGGCGAAGGTGCGCAAGGCCCGACGGATCCAGCGGAACTGCAAGAGCCTCTGGGAAGACTCGAAGAAGATTCACGACTGCCACACCGAGCTCGAACAGCCAGCTGCCAGCCGAAGCTGGACCAGGTCGCCCTCGATCAAGGCGATGCGCGACCAGATGCACGAGACGATCATCCATGGCTGTGCGTATGGACTTCGCGAAGCTCGTTCCGGCCTGCTGATGAGGAAGGCATGGCGCATATGCTCGACAGACCCGGAGTTCGGCGCTAAGCTCGGCAGGACGTGCTCCAACCGCCCTGGCAGGGGCGACAACCACACACCGCCCCATCGAGGACGGACAGGTGGTGGCCCAGACGGCCTTTTACCCACCAGCACTGTGTAAGGCCTGGGCAAAGCATATCCTGAAGACGAACACCAGCGCGAGGTACGGCAAGGAGATCTTCACCAGCTTGGAACAGATCCCAGAGGACGCTGAAGAGGAGATGGAGGAGGCCCTCGACGAGGACCTCTTGCAGGATAACCCCGAGGCCATGGACGACGAGTCGGTCATGAAGGGCCTGGGCATCTCCGAGACACCGACCAAGAAGGAGGAGCTGGAGATAGAGCAACGGCTGACGCGGCTCCACCGCAACCTCGGCCACCCGAGCAACAAGACGCTGTACAAGATCCTCAAGGCATCGGGAGCACCTCTCCAGGTCCTACGAGCAGCTCTTCGCCTCCAGTGTCACGCATGCCATGCGGGACAACTACCAAAAGCCGTCAGGGTCGCCTCGGGCATCGAGTTGCCAGGCGTCCTAGAGGTGCTGGCCTCCGACGGGCTCGAGTGGCTCTCGCCGAAGCAGGACTCCTTCCTGATGACGTTGAACATCGACGAGGGATCCGGGCTCACCAGTGTCACCTATCATGGACAGAAGGGAGAGCGCAATGGCAACAGATCGACTCAGGAGGTGATTTCAACATGGAATGACTGGTGCGGACATTACCGCCGCCCCAGCCTTCTCCGTCTGGACCCCGAAGGTTGTCATCGTTCACAAGCAGTGGCCAGGTGGTGTTCGGACCGCGGCATCGAGCTGTGGATTGCCCCGGGCGAGGCCCACTGGCTGATGGGCAAGGTCGAGAGGCGCATCCAGCTTTTCAAGCGACTGATGACGAAGCTGGCAACGCTGGACCCCGACTGCCCGGTCGAGGAGTTGGTGTCCTGGGCCGTGAGCGCGATCAACAGCATGGACAAGGTCGGCAACCACTCCCCGTTCGAGCACGTGATGGGCGTCTCTGGGATGCCGGCCTCGAGCAACCCGTTCGCCATCATTGACGGGGACACCGGGGAGACTCAGGAGCAGAGGCGCCTCCTCGCGCGCAAAAGCTTCCTGGAAGTAGAGTATGCTGAGCGTCGTCGACACGCCGAACAGGCCCGCAACCGGGTCTATCAGACCTGGAATCCGGGGGACCTCGTCTACTTCTGGCGCAAAGGGAAAGGCCTTGACCCTCGCCCTGGGAAGAAGGGCGGATGGTACGGCCCTGCTCGTGTCCTTGCTCAGGAAAAACGACACGTGGACGGGCGCACCCGTCCTGCCTCGGTCATCTGGATCTCCCACGGGAGCGTGCTCATCAGGTGCGCCCCGGAGCAGCTGCGCGTCGCCTCGGAGGCAGAGAAGATGATCGTCGAATTGCAGCGGCAGAGCAACCTTGGCAAGACCATGACGGAGATCTTGGAGACAGCCAAGGGCGGTACCTATGAAGACCTTCTCGGACAAAATCCTCCAGACCTCCGAGAATACGAGCCTCCACCGCAGCCGACGATGGCGATCCCCGCGACCGAGGGCCAGACTCTCGAGAACAACAGCGAGGCGGGACTCCCCTCAGGCGCCGACAACGACACACCCGGCGCTCCTGATTCCTCCAGGCCACCAACACCAAGCTCAGCGACGCAACCTGAAGTGGAACCGAGTGAACCAGATGTCCGACGGTCCCGGTCACCACCGGCTCGTGCAGCTGACCGGTCAGCAGCCCCATCACGAACGCCAGGGAAAGCGTCTACCTCAGCGGCAGTCAGGACGGAGTCTCGAACAGCATCGCGTCCGCCTCCCGCGACATCGACCTCATCGGCGGCCGGTGCCGCATCCCGAGGCGAGTCGAGACCTCGATGGCGCATGACACACCGCGGACCAGAGCTCGATCTGCACGCACCGCCGGAGAAGCGACAGAAAGGCGCAGACGAGGAGATGGCCGACGCGCTGTTCGACAGCAACCACCTGGTCGACCTCTTCAAGGACAAGCTGGACATCACCCTCGGCATCGACGAACAGCAGACCGTCTACTTCGAGTACTTGCAGGACGAGAATACCACTCCAGACGGACGCCGAGGTTTGATGAGCCACATCCTGGACAACTTCGTCGTCAACCAGCGCCGGAAGGACAAGGTGGAGCTGACCTGGTCCAAGATGAACGCCACCGAGCGTAAGGAGTTCGAGGCAGCCATCGCCAAGGAGACGAACAACTGGGTCCAGCATCAGGGACTTCGCGCTGTCCCGATATCTCGGGTCAAGGACGCGGCGGACGTCATCCGGGCAAGGTGGCTCTTCACCCGCAAGTCCGATGGGAAGGCGAAGGCCCGGCTCGTCCTCCTCGGCTACCAGACGAAGGACCTAGGACAGGAGCCGACAGCCAGCCCCACCGCGTCTCGGCGCGCCCGTCACGTGATGCTAACAGTGGCCGCCGCGAACCGCTGGAAAATCATCAAGGGCGACGTCACCTCCGCCTTTCTGCAGGCCCACGACCTCGACAAGGACCTCTTCATCGAGCCAGACGCCGTCCTCAGAAAGGCCTTCCACGTGCAGGAAGGGGAAATCCTCCAGGTCGTGAAACCTGGATATGGGATCGGCGAGGCGCCCCGGCACTGGTGGGAGACGGTCAAGCACGACTTTGCGAAACTTCGACTCCAAGCCTGCGAGTTGGAGCCCTGCCTCTGGAAAGCACGATGTTCCAGGACGGGTATGCTCATCGGTATGATCATGGCCCACGTCGACGACTTCATCATGGCAGGAGATACCTCCCACCCTGAGTGGCAGGACATGGTCAAGCAGATCCGAGGGCTCTACAAGTGGGGCACCTGGGAGGACATGAATGACGGGCTCACCTCTCTCGAACAGTGCGGCGTCACCATCGAGGAGAGCGAGCAGGGCTTCTTCCTCCACCAGAAGTCGTACATCGACAAGATCAAGGAGGTCAAGGCGGCCAGCGGCAGTAAGCATCGGACCACCGACAGCCTCAAGGACTCTGACAAGACGGTGCTCAGGGCGTTCTGCGGCGAGATCTACTGGCTTGGCGTGAATACCATGCCATTTCTCTTATCGTGGGTAGCCGACCTCCAGATGAAGATACCAGCAGGTACTCACAACCTCTTCACGGCCGCTAACAACATCGTCAAGCTCGTCAAGCAGAGCCGCCACATGGGGATCAGGATCTACCGGCACGCCCTGGACGACCTCGCCATCTTCACCTGGTGCGACGCAGCCTGGGCCAGCCGCCCGGATGGACACTCCCAGGGTGGTCATATCACCGCTATCTCCTCCAAGGCGGCCATGGACGGGAAGCTCTCCGAGTTCACGGTCCTCGACTGGGGCTCCAAGAAGCTGCGCCGCGTGGCTCGGTCAAGCCTGGCGGCGGAGGTGCAGGAAGCCGGCGACGCCGAAGGCGAACAGAGCATGGTGCGACTGGTACTTGCCGAACTTCTACACAATATGTCTCCACTGCAAGATACCGCAGCAGCACTACGACGATTACCAGCCATCCTGGTGACGGACTGCAAGGCCTTCTACGACGGCGTGGTGCGATCTCAGTCGGCGGGACTGGGACTGGAAGAGCGGAGGACAGCCATCGAGGCTTTGGCTCTCCGCAATGCCTTGGACGAGGGTCAAACGGTCGTGCGCTGGGTTCACTCACACGCACAGATCGCCGACGGCCTCACCAAGGCAAGCTGGCAGGCATTCGGAGTGGTCCGGGCCTTCCTCGAGAAGCAGCAGTGGCGCCTCATCTACGACGAGCAGTTCATGAGCGCTCGCAAGCGGGCAGCTCTTGGCAAGGGCATCTTCGACGAGACGGACCCGACCGACCCGGCCTCAGCTCGTCAGGTACTCGAGGAGCGTAGGTTGGCCCGCCAGGCACAACCACCAGCCAGCATGGAAGGGAACCCTTCCAGCTCGACGACCTCTACTGGGTTCTCGGCCTCCGAATCCCTGATCATGATCCAGAAGTTGCAGCAGGAGATCGAGGCCCATCAGAAGTTCGTCCAGCAGCACACACGGAGCGCAGAGATTGCCTGCGCGCACGGTACAGGGCAGAACCTTTTTCCCCCTGTCTGAAAGATACGCAGGAGTAAGCTTGAGCAGCAGCAGTCTCCTGCCCGTCTGCCCTGTCCGTTCCACCGCCACCCTCGGCTCAAGGCGAGGGAGGGCGGGACTCGTTCTGACAGAGCCTGGCTGTGCCAGGCAGACCGCGCAGCCGACAGCGCGGCCGTTCATATCGTGGACAAAAGGTGTTCGCTGACAATTATCACGATAATTGACATCTACACACACTTTCTCTTGCTCTTCCTCATCGTCACCAGCGTGAGCGATCTTGAGGACGAGCTCTAGTAATCAGACATAGGGAGCTCCACCGAAGGCCCCAGTGGCTGCGCCCGCATGCGGTTCCACCCCCCCATTCTGGCACACCCCTCGCACGTTTCGTGGCCCCATAGGGAGCTCCACCGAAAGCCCCAGTGGCTGCGCCCGCATGCGGTTCCACCCCCCATTCTGGCACACCCCTCAAAAGCGTGGCCCCATAGGGAGCTCCACCGAAGGCCCCAGTGGCTGCGCCCGCATGCGGTTCCACCCCCCATTCTGACACACCCCTCACACGTTTCGTGGCCCCCCATAGGGAGCTCCACCGAAGGCCCCAGCGGCTGCGCCCGCATGCGGTTCCACCCCCCATTCTGGCACACCCCTCACACGTTTCGTGGCCCCATAGGGAGCTCCACCGAAGGCCCCAGTAACTGCGCCCGCATGCGGTTCCACCCACCAGTCTGGCACACACCTCACACGCTTCGTGGCCCCATAGGGAGCTCCACCGAAGGCCCCAGTGGCTGCGCCCGCATGCGGTTCCACCCCCCATTCTGGCACACCCCTCACACGTTTCGTGGCCCCATAGGGAGCTCCACCGAAGGCCCCAGTGGCTGCGCCCGCATGCGGTTCCACCCCCCATTCTGGCACACCCCTCACACGTTTCGTGGCCCCATAGGGAGCTCCACCGAAGGCCCCAGTGGCTGCGCCCGCATGCGGTTCCACCCCCCATTCTGGCACACCCCTCACACGTTTCGTGGCCCCATAGGGAGCTCCACCGAAGGCCCCAGTGGCTGCGCCCGCATGCGGTTCCACCCACCATTCTGGCACACCCCTCACACGCTTCGTGGCCCCATAGGGAGCTCCACCGAAGGCCCCAGTGGCTGCGCCCGCATGCGGTTCCACCCCCCGTCCTGGCACACCCCTTACACTTTTCGTGGCCCCATAGGGAGCTCCACCGAAGGCCTCAGTGGCTGCGCCCGCATGCGGTTCCACCCCACATTCTGGCACACCCATCACACGTTTCGTGGCCCCATAGGGAGCTCCACCGAAGGCCCCAGTGGCTGCGCCCGCATGCGGTTCCACCCCCCATTCTGGCACACCACTCACACGTTTCGTGGCCCCATAGAGAGCTCCACCGAAGGCCCCAGTGGCTGCGCCCGCATTGCGGTTCCCCCCCCATTCTGGCCCACCCTCACACGTCTTCGTGGCCCAATAGAGGAGCTCCACCGAGGGCCAAGTGGGCTGCGCCCGCAATTGCCGTTCCACCCTCTCATTCTGCCCACCCCTCACACGCTTCGTGGCCCAATAGGGAGCTCCACGAACAGGCACCCAGTGGGAGGCGCCCGCATTGCGGTTCCACCCCCATTTGGCACACCCCTCCACCCCTCAAACGTTTTCCGGGCCCCATAGGGAGCCTCCACCGGAAGGCCCCAGCGGCTCGCGCCGCAGCCGCCATCCACCCCCCCATTTGGCACACCCTTCACACGTCGTGGCCCCACCCTACAGTGAAGATCCACGGAGGCCTCAGTGGCTGCTCGCGCATGGTTCCACCCCACCATTCGGCACACCCCTCACACGCTTTCGTGGCCCCATAGGGAGCTCCACCGAAGGCCCCAGTGCTGCCGCCCGCATGCGTCAGCCACACCCAGTTCGGCACACCCCTCACACGTTTCGTGGCCCCATAGGGAGCTCCACCGAAGGCCCCAGTGGCTGCGCTGGCATGCGGTTCCACACCCCATTCTGGCACACCCCTCGCACGTTTCGTGGCCCCATAGGGAGCTCCACCGAAGGCCCCAGTGGCTGCGCCAGCATGCGGTTCCACCCCCCATTCTGGCACACCCCTCACACGTTTCGTGGCCCCATAGGGAGCTCCACCGAAGGCCCCAGTGGCTGCGCCCGCATGCGGTTCCACCCCCATTCTTGCACACCCCTCACACGTTTCGTGGCCTCATAGGGAGCTCCACCGAAGGCCCCAGTGGCTGCGCCCGCATGCGGTTCCACCCCCCATTCTGGCACACCCCTCACACGTTTCGTGGCCCCATAGGGAGCTCCACCGAAGGCCCCATGGCTGCCGTCCGCATGCGGTTCCACCCCCCAGTCTGGCACACCCCTCACACGTTTCGTGGCCCCCTAGGGAGCTCCACCGTCGGTGGCTGCGCCCGCATGCGGTTCCACCCCCCATTCTGGCACACCCCTCACGCGTTTCGTGGCTCCATGGGAGCTCCACCGAGCGCCCCAGTGGCTGCGCCCGCATGCGGTTCCACCCCTCATTTCGGCGCACCCCTCACTCGTTTCGCGGCCCCGGGGCGCCACCGAAGAATATATCCACAATTGCGGTATTCACAACTACGTTTGGTTGGGTCTTTCGTCAAGCTAATGTTTCTTGATTTTGCCCAACCATCCTGTGGTGTTGGGTCCTCGTTTTGAAGGGACGTCGCCCCGCGTTCCTCATTCCTCCTCCTTCCTCCTTCCTCCTTCCTCCTCCTCCCCTTCCTCCCCCCTCCTCCCCCTCCCACACCCATTCTGGCACACCCCTCACACGTTTCGTGGCC